CATTTTGTCAGAACTCTCTGTCATGACCTGTCCATCTTGGGTGGCCCTGCACGGTATAGCTCATGGCTTCACTGAGTTACGCAAGCTCCTTCGCCATGACAAGGCAGTGATCCATGAAGGGGTTATTATTATTTAGCTGACTGTAGTTTAAGGCGTTCTGCTTAAGAGGTCGCACAAGGGACATTTTCACCTTATATTTATGCTACCTAGTCACCATCTTGTTTTAAATTAGTCATCCTTTAAGTCTATACTTCCTTGAACTGTGCTTTGTTCTATAAAAGTGTAACAAGATTCATCTTTATTTTTAAGCAATTATGCAAAAGTATGTTTAACTTTATTCTACTCAGCCTGCACTAAAACAAGGTGGTTTGACCATGTTTCACCTGTGTCCTTGGAGACTGTAGAAGTGTATACAAGAAGTTGCATAGTTGTACATTACATACTTTAGATTGTGGTTGTATTATCTAGTGTATTCCATTTAGCATTGGTTGGAAGAAGATGGCTTTTCAATACAGCATTATTACACGGAGGGTGTGAAGAACAAGGCTACATAAAGCTTTGCATGATTGCTTATGATTAAAGAAGAATCTTGTTGTAGTATTAGATCTACTAGTTTAGATCAAAGATAGATGCTGACTGAAAACTCCTTTTGGCATATTCTTTCAGACAGAGCACCTTGACATGTGTCAATAAATTGCAGTGGCCTTACTCACAGGTGGTCCTGATTTCTTTCTCATTTTATACTTTCTACACATGCTATCTGCAAATAGATGGCATCTCAGCATTTCACATAGTTCCTGGAGGACCTCTTCCAACAGCTTCATATAGCTCTTGACTGAGTAGTGGATTGAAGAACAATATAAGGCACTGGTTAAAATGTCAGACAGGACTCCCGCAATCCTTCTTGAGGAAACCATCTTCTCGGAAGGGCTGGAACCTCCCTTCAGTGGTGCATCCAAGGCCCATCCTATCAGTTCATCAAGAAAGGGGTTGCTGCTCCTGCAGAATTAGCCAAACTAACAAAAGATTACCCCAGATGTATTTTCAGTCAGAGGTTTGAAGCTCTGCCCATTTTCTGAGAAAGATTCTCCAGTGAAGTTGCTTATTGCTGTACTTGGAAAGCTGGATTTGTTCTTTAAGAAGAAAATGTGCATATACGTTATTGAATGTTTTTAGAATGTGTTGTTTCTGTTTCAGAATTCTATCTCCTTTGAGGATGTAGCTGTGTTTTTCTCTGTGGAGGAGTGGGCACTGCTGGATTTTGAGCAAAAAACTCTGTATCGAGAGGTCATGCTGGAAAACGCAAGCAATGCAGTCTCCTTAGGTAAGAGACTCTCTTTTTCTGGGCTGAAATTATGGTGGAAACTATTTTCTAGCCAGATGTAAGCAGCAGATTTATTTCTCAGGGGAAATGCTGGCCTCTTCTTTTCCTATAGTGGAGGAGAGTGTCCTTATCTGAATTCCTCCTCCTACTTGCTCTGTTAAGAAGGGCTAAAACCTTCACGCTGTCTCCTGAAAGAGGAGAGGGATCCTCCCATGCAGTTTCCCATCCCACCCATTTCAAATCCTGCCTGCCCCGCTTTGGTGCTCTCTTCCTCTTTATGTTTTTCTGCCTATAATGATGGCATTTGGAAGTCCTAATAGACACATAGGAATTATCACAAGGATGTGACTGCTAGAGAACTGGGCTGTCTGATGGGCCGGGTTCTCAAGAGATGGGACCTTCCGCCCAGGTGGCTCTCCCTCCCATTTTCTGCAAGGCTTCCCTTTCCTTAGTGCTGCCTGCAAATGCAGGGACAACTAAAGATGAATGAACACACCCAGACTGAGAACCAGTTTTTTCAAGGGAGAGCTTCCTCATGGAGAGGAGGCTGAAGCTCAGTTCCCAGGTCCAAGTCCATCAGCGCTTCCACCTTCTCAAGATCAAAATGAAATGAACCTGTTCTCCCTTGTCAAGTCCACTATTGAACAGAGGCAGCTTTCAAGAGTCCCTCCTGCTTCATTGGAACTGAATCTGAAGGAGCAGTAGAGCTGATGGTGCCCCACCCTGAGAGACTAAATGATCTTCCCCCAAGGTTTCAGGTGTGCCTTCTGCACCATAGAGGGCAAGAAGGAAGCCTATAGCAGCTCTTACATCAACCTGATACCAAGCATAGCACCATGTTTTGAACATGCCCTGATAGAAACAGGGAGAAGAATCACAAAAAGAGCTAAAGGGAAGAATAGGTGGGGGTGGGGGTAGTTTTGGTAATGTTCAAATGCAGCAATGGAGCTTGATCCTTTTTGCACCTCGGTTTGCGTCAACTTTTCTTTTTTTCTGTTCCAAGCAGGTGATCGATGGGAGATGGAGGATTCTGGCAGTGAGACAGCAGCACCTTTGCCAGAAGGACAAAGACCTTTTGAGACAGCCAGAAAGGAAGTTGTGGAAAGGTTGTTTCGAAAGCCAAGTCCTGAGGAAAACCAGTTAAAAGAGGGTTTGGGGAAATGCTCTACTTTTGCATGTGTACATATCAATGTCTTCTTGGGCAAAGACGATCACCAAGAAAAAGAAGTGTGTCCAGGGTGCGGAAAAATACTCAGAGCTCAATCGGGATTATGTGACTGTTGCAGAAGCCACACTGTAGGGAAACAAAATGAAAGTGGGAAATGCTCCAGAAGGACCTTTCCTCTTACTTTACATCAGAGAATACAAGAAGGAGGAAAACCATATAAATGCATGGAATGTGCAGAAAGCTTTAGTACAAGCCGTACCCTTATGTCTCATAAAAAGATTCACAAAGCATTGGAGCTGTACAAATGTCTGGAATGTGGAAAGAACTTCAGTCAGAAAAATCACTTTAATTCACATAAGATGGTCCACAAAAGGAAGAAGCAATATCAATGCATCAAGTATGGAAAGAGTTTCAGAAGCAGTGGCTCCCTTATTTCCCATCAAAGCATCCACAGAGAGGAAAAGCTATATCAATGCAGGGAGGGTAGAAAGAGGCTTACTCAGAGTAATGTACTGAATTTCCAGAAAAAAAGCCTCATTGGGAATAAATCATGTAAATGCCTGGAGTGTGGAAAGAGCTTCCGTTTTGCAAGTGAGCTAACTTATCATAATAGGACCCATACAGGGGAGAAGCCATATCAGTGCATGGTGTGTGAAAAGAGCTTCAGTCAAAAAGGTAATTTCAATTTACATAAGAGGATCCACACAGGAGAGAAGCCATATAAATGCACCGAGTGTGGAAAATGCTTCAGAACCCCTGGTTCCCTTACTTGCCATATGAGGATTCACACAGGGGAGAAACCATATGAATGCCTGGAGTGTGGAAAGAGCTTTAGTAGGAACAGTACCCTTACTTTCCATAATAGGATACATAAAGGAGAGAAGCCGTATAAATGCCTGCAGTGTGGAAAGAACTTCAGGCAAAAAGTTCATCTCAATTCACATGAGAGGATCCACACAGGAGAAAAACCATATAAATGCATGGAATGTGGAAAGAGTTTCCATTTCTTAACAAATCTTACTTCGCATAACAGGATCCACACAGGGGAGAAGCCATATAAATGCATGCAGTGTGGAAGGTGCTTTGCCAATTCTTGTTCCCTTCATTCCCATGAAAGAACCCACACAGGAGTGAAACCATATAAATGCATGGAGTGTGGAAAGAGCTTCTCTAAAGTAAGTCACCTAACTTCTCATAATAGGATCCACTCAGGAGAAAAACCATATAAATGTACTGAATGTGGGAAGTGCTTCAGAGATTCAAATTACCTTGCTACCCATAAAAGGATACACACAGGGAAAAAGCCCTATAAATGCACTGAATGTGGAAAATGTTTCACTAAGTCTGGTTCCCTCACTTGCCATAAAAGGGTCCACACTGGGGAGAAACCATATGAATGCAAGGAATGTGGAAGGAACTTCAGTCAAAAAAATCATTATATTGTACATAACAGAATCCACACTGGGGAGAAGCCATATAAATGCATGGAGTGTGGGAAATGCTTCAGTGATTCTCGGGAGTTTGCTTTACATAAAAGAATTCACACAGGTGAGAAACCATTTAAGTGCATGGAGTGCGGAAAGAGTTTCAGAAAAAGCAGTTACCTTAGTTACCACCAGAGGATCCACACAGGGGAGAAACCGTATAAATGCATCGAATGTGGAAAAAGCTTTAGTCAAAACCATTCACTTAATAGCCATAGAAGGATTCATTCAGGGGAGAAACCATATAAATGCCTGGAGTGCGGAAAATGCTGTATTGATAGTGGTTCTCTTAATTCCCATATGAGGATCCACACAGGGGAGAAGCCATATAAATGCATTGAGTGTGGAAAGAGTTTCCGGATTAGCAGTAGTCTTTCTTGTCATAAAAGAATCCATACAGGGGAGAAACCATATCAATGTGTGAAGTGTGGAAAGAGCTTCAGAACCAGCAGTGACCTTACTCGCCATAAGAAGACCCACAGAGGGGAAAAAACATAATTGTGTGTGGATTTATTCTCAGTTTGCTTCATGCCCACAGAAAGTTTCACGGGACAATCCATATAAATGCATGGAGTGTGGGAAAGGCTTCAGAAGTAGCAGAAGCTTTTCTACCCATAAAGAGATACACAAATGTTAGAGCCATACAAATGAACTGAGTGGAATAACTTCAGAGACCACAGTCCTGAGCTGTTGATTTCCATGGAAAAATGTGATGGTCATTAATGGAAGTTTAGAATGAACAGGTATGGCTGGTGAAGGAAGAGAAGCATAATGTGCCAGGAGGTGATCAGGGAGAGTATCAAAAAGGTCTTGGAATAGCTTCAACTTATTACTGGAGACAAGTTGAGATTATATTTGTACTGTGCTCTGAATCTAGCCTGCCTTGAGAGACTCAAGATTAGTACTATTCACTTTTTGCACCTCTCAGTTTATTGGCCACTAGGGGCACTAGACATAATGATGTTAGAGCCCTCTGGCTGGAAAATTTTGGGAGCTGAAGTCCACACTTCTTCAAGTTGCCAGGGTTGAGAACACTGCATTAGAGGAATTCTGCACTTTGACTTTGGTCTATTTGCATCCAGATGCTTAATTTGCATGCCACTCATGTTATGCCTCCTGTTGAATTGACTGTTAATTAATGGAAAAGAATATATTTAGCTCAGGGTTGAACTGTGGAGTCCTTGGGGTTCTCTGAGCTTGGTTGTTTTCTTGCAAATGTTTCGTTACCTGGCTAGGTAGCATCTTCAGTGCTAGAATGGAGTGGAGTTTGCTGTCTGTTTACATACAGTGGCATGCCCTGTCAAACAAAGAGCAAACCCCACTCCATTCTAGCACTGAAGATGTTACCTAGCCAGGTAATGAAACATTTGCAAGAAAACAATCAAGCTCAGAGAACCCCAAGGACTCCACAGTGACTGTTAATTGGCAGTCAACACTTTCAGTTCTCTTCCATTTACTCTTCTGGCTTCCCTGCTCTCCTGGGATAAAGAAAACACTATGCCAGTTCTAAGGCACAGATAGGCAACCTTGGATTTGCTGTTGCTATGTAACTTCCTGAATAAAGATTTAACTTTTGGTTTTCTTTCTTGGAAGGACCAGTCTCAAGAATTGTTTTATATAAATGCCGCTCTCCTTTATTTTTTGGTCTCTAAATGCACTTTTTCCGTTGTACAAAAGTTCTAACACATGTAACTCTAGATGACTCATCTTTAAGGTTGGGACAACAATGCCAGCAATTTCTTGTCAAATTATAAAGGGAAAGATGTGAGGTTTTCCCCCAGATAATTAGCTGTTAAGTTGGAGAGAGTGTATTGCCTTACATTCCTTGAGAATAGAGTTGCCTGTTGAAATTGAAGGATTGAGTGAAGGGGACAAATGACTGCAAACATGACTATGAATGCGCTTGAGCGTTGGCAAACACGATTTGGGGGACTGATTTATCCTTGCTGCTGTGCTACTCTATTGATGCTCAATCCTTTCTCTAAGATCTAAGAGAGCTGCTCTTTCTCCTTTCCTTCCATGTTCAGTTCCCTCTTCCCACTTCCTCATCTCCACATTAATTCCACCCTTTATGTTACTTCTCGTTCCAATTCAGGGACCTCTTCTCCATTCTGTTTCCTTCATTTAAGTTGTTTTCTTATTGGCGAAAGGGAAAGGTATCTGTGGTTGGTATAGCTAGGGTTTGCAGATGACTATCTGTAAATTTGATTCTTAATTTTACTGACAACTATACACACAGACGTATATGCAATCACATGTCTGTTGAATGACCACAAACAATTTCACGTGGAATTGGCATCCCAAGGTTGACAGCGTGTATCACTTGGTTGTTATGCACGATTTTCATCTGTTATTTTTTTATCTGTCTTTTTTGCTATCCTTTTTTCCAGTCATCTTAAATTCACAGACTTTTTTTAAAATAGCAGAATTACTCATAGTACCCACTTTTATTAACTGCTCAAATCTCAGAAGCTACTGGAGGAAAATACATTGGCTGTTGATTTCTTTATAAATGATCTTGACTTAGTGGTAAGTGAGCTGGCCTAGTTTGTAGATGATACTGAAGTATTCAAGGTAACAAAACCAAAAGTGAGTTTGAGTTCAGAAGGATCTCTTTCAACTGTGAATTCAACCACATTGCAAATGCAATTCTTTAAGAGGAAAGTGGTGAATATACCAGTAACCTTACCTCTCCAAAATTGATATATGCACTGTTAGGGTTGGAACTGTTTAACCAGGAGAAATATTTTGGTATTGTGTAGTAATAGTATTTCTTCTGAACTTCAGATACTTCTTAAATGGAGTGGTTAAATATTTTCCAGCTTAGACCTTTCAGTGGTTTTCTTAAGCTTCAAAATGGTATGGTCAATGGAATTAAACATTTCTAGTGCGTCTTGGGAGACTCTTACCTTGAATTCTGTTACAGTTTATTTCAGAAAAGAGGTTCAGCCTGTTCCTCACAAAGGTTTTCTTATCTCTTTCTTGAATGGTAGAGAGTTTAGTTTTGCCTTTTTGTCCACAGGTAGCTGGTAGTGGGACAGCCTGTAGATAAGCAGGTTAGCTGTGATACAAGTTGGACATATTCCAATGAATAAGCAGTTGCAGGATCTGAGTGACAATGTCAGTGGGATATTGTGAAGTGTGGGGGAGAACCCAATTCTAGAAAATGCAACAGAAATCCAAAGATGGCACTGTGATAGGATGAGTATGGATCACCTTAAAAATCCAACCCCCATCTTCTGGCTGCAGGCAGTGGCACAGTTAGTACTAGCATAAGGCCAAAATGAAATAAATCAGGCTTTTGACCAAGTAGCCACAGGCAAGGTTGCACCTATTTGCTGTGGCATTGTGGGGAAGAACATATTAAAAAAGAATGTTATGTCGCCAAAAGATGAGACCACACACCCCCAGCTTTGGACATAACTCTTTGACCACTGGGAAAGAGCAAAGAGGTTTATCATGTAGATCTATACTATTTTATCCATGACTGGATAAAGGCTTCTGGAAGTCTAGTTGCTGATGTACCCAGAACTGAAGGAAAAACTCAGAAATGTTTTTATTTGTGCAATTTAGAGGCTGTGCAACTCCAGTAGTCTCTAGGCAGCTTACAGTGTTAGAAAGCAATAAAACAGTAAAATGAGATTCACATCCAGAAAAGAATAATCAGATAAAGTTCTACAGGAGCTCAGCTCACACCCTCACTCAAGCGGGGTGGAGGGGGAACTGCTAGGTTTACAACAAGTTTTTCAATATCAGGGTGAGGGCCATACAAATCTCTAGGGAGACTATTCCAGAGAGTGAGTGCTGTGACAGAGAAGACATGCTTTGTAGGTCCTGAAGGATTACACTGTTTAATTGAAGGGACCTAGAGGATACCCACACTGGCTGATTGTACAAAGGTGGTCCCGCAGATAACCAGGCCCTATGCCGTGAAGGGCTTTACAGGGGGCAGTCACCAACCTGAGTTGCAGCTAGAAGCCAATTAGCAACCAAGGCAGCTCATCCCACTGTAGAATGCCCTTGCTCCATTGTAGGAAAACAGTACATTATACTTAACCATGAAGGTCCTTTTTCTACATCAGAGACAGGGCATCTGGCCAACCCAGGCATGGAGAAAATAAAAATGGGGGATTCCATCAGATCCAACAACCAATTTACCTAATTTTCATATATTTATGCTTTATCTCTACTTCTCAAGAGTGCTTCATCTGAACTCTATACATTTTAGAGGCAGAGCTGGAAGTTTCCAATGATGCTTTTTTCTCTGATGAAGTGGGCAGAAAAACATTTACATATTCTCTTTATGGCTTGTGCTGGATATTTAGTATCAATAAATAAACTATTAGTGTGTGTCTGATTCTTTCTGCAAGTTTTATGGGAGGGTCCTATCTCACATTTTAGCCAATGTCCCAGTGTCCTTCAAAGATTGTTCTTACCTCCTCGTTTAACACGCATATTAAAAAGTGGGTTTATAATCTTTTTATTTTTCCAGTGGAATTTTATTATTGGTTGATCCTTTTCTCTGTGCCAAAGACAAGTCTAAAGGATGATTGGAAAGAGTATTCTGCTTGATTTTTGAAGTAGAGAGCAAATAAAAGCTGAATTGTTAAGAAAACAAAAAACTCCAGGCAGATTAATGTGAATCCTACAAAATACAGAAGAGAACAGAGGGAGCAAGAGAGCAACTCTTTTCAAGAACCATGAATTTATCATGAATTGACCACAAAGAGGCTCTTTTAAAGTGATCCTTTTTTATTGTAACCATGTCTTAAAAGACCAAATAAGGCCATGGTGATTCTTTTATTTTGAGGGTTTTCTTTTTTCACTAACCCTTCTTAGTATTCCATTGCTTGTTTCACTGTTTATCTCTTGTAGTTTTGTATTCTGCTTTTTTTGTAAAATTGCTATAAAATATAATAAAATGGAGGGGGGGAAAGGTTAAGGCGTATCCCATGACAATACTAGAGAATCAATAGAATGATTGACTGATTATGGGTCATCAAGCTGGTACCAACTCTTAGTGACCGCATAGATTTTCTCCAAGAAGATCTGTCCCTACCTGGTCCTTCAGGTCTTCCGATGGTGTATCCATCGCCACTGTAACTGAGTCCATCCATGTTGCTGCTAGTTGTCCTCTTCAGCAGGATAGCAGGGAAATATGGTGAATTTCTACAAATTGCTATCCTAGGCATTTTTTTCTAGAATCTCGGACTCCTGAAAGCCGCCTATTTACCAGCTGCCTGTGGAGAGAACTTCTCCAACTATCTAATATCTTCTTTATCTAGAGAATAGGGGGAAAATTTCTTCCTGCGCTCTGAGGTAGAAGAATCAGCACAGACAGATCTGGAGCTGACTATGGAGGCCAGAAGCTTTTGGTGCTTAGGTAGAACATTGGCGTTACAGACCACCATGGTGTCCATTTCAAGGTCTGAGTTTAAGCCAGTGGCCTAAATAGAGATCAAATGAAGGAATTAGGCCACTTTAATAGCTGACACTGAGGCTCAGCTGGACCACACCTCTGCCTGTGCTGTAGCTCCAGGGCCATCTAAAAGGGGGCCTTGAATTCCTCAGACCGGCCTGTGGTTGTCATGGAAACTCCATGCAATTGCCTTGGGAACCCCCTCCCTCTCCGGTGGGAGGGAGAGAGAAGCAGCTCTGAGGAAAAAGGCGGGAAAGTCCTCCAGAAGGAAGAATCTGCGCTCAATTCTGGGGGGGAGGCTGACTAAAATTTCCCACAGGATCAGTTGGAGATTGATTATCTCAACAAATAGTATTTTTTGATGTGAAAAGGGGTTGAGATGTCTCCCCACAACAGGAATGACTGTTGATGTCTCCCCCACGACAGGAATGTCCTCTTTGGTTTCTGTAGAAAGATGCCTTCCTTCCATGTCGTGGAAAAGGACCAGCATCTCCAAAGACTGGCATTCTGATGAGACATACAGTGTCCACATGTCCTCTATTATAAAGGGCAGTCCTTTATTTCAGAAAGCTGTCCTTTAGATTTATTTTTCAAAACCTCACTTTTGTCCTTTATTATGGTTAACTTTTACCCTACAATGCAGTGTCTTTCACATTCATGTGAAAAATATGGAAATTGAATTCTTTTTAAAATAAATTTACATATACTCTTTGATTTTAGACATTTTTATTAGAATGTGCCTTTCTGTAAAGTTTTTCTTGGTTTTGCTCTTGAATTTACCTTTGTAAAGCAAAGTTATTTATTTTTATTTATCAAATTTATATGGCCGCCTTGTGTGAGATGGGTGGCGTACAACAAAACCAACAATGAAAACATATAATACCATTTAAATAAACATAAATAAGAACAAGATCACAATCAGAATGTTTATGTTTATAAACATATGCATTAAACATATGCATTTTTATCCTTATATCTTTCAGATTTCCTCCTTTTCCAGGTTTGTTGTCCTTTATTTTTTCCAAGAAGATATGGTCACTGTAATGATACCTAACACCATATCAGCATATGATGTCGTTCAGTGGCTTTATGCAGATGTGAATTAGGGAATGAGGAGAGTAGGGCTCTCTGAAACTGCATCTGGATTATTTTCTTGACAAGAAGGGAAGGGAAGCCTGGAGATAGGATGAAAATTGCCCAATACTGTTGGGTAATCTCATGATGTTATTCAGAGCTATATCAATAATTGTTGTTAAAATTAAAATACAATCATAATGTTACCTTTGATGGTATAACCATCCAGACTACATACCAACCTTAATTTTTATCCATCATTTAGGGCTTAGAGATGGCTTATTCTCTTCTATTGGAGGCAGACAGTTTGAACCCTCTGCATTAAATGCATACTAAACACAGGATTTAAAGTGGGTGGAAACATTTTTGTCTATGTTAATCATCTGCAAAACAAAGCATGTTTGTGTTTGGAGGTAGATGCTCACAGATGTGATCATCGTGTGTAAATTAAAAAAAAAAAAGGACATCTAGGAGTGAGGCATGAGACAGGAACCACCAGAGATAGCTGGTATGTAAACATGTAACTGCTTGATTTCAAGGCCACCAAATGTCTTGCAATGTCTCCATTAAATCAGAAAGCTAGGAGGATGAAACCAAGTTTAAGTCCCCAAGGTATAAAAAGTCTTCATTTTAGCATTATCAGAGGTAATCATCTGTTCTGCATGGCTTCATTAGTTTCTAATTTAGCCAAACCATCTTATGCCATATCTAGCCAGGAGTAAGACTAACCTATGAAGTATCAGGTGGACTGTGATTTACTACTGGAGGAGTCTGACACTAAGCAACTGAATTTTAACTGGTTCCCACCCTTTATCAATTTATGTAACCATCTGAACATTAATTTCTAAATGGTTTTGATTAGTGGCTAAATTGGTATATCATTTTTGATCTGTCTGCTGTAAGGTTTGCCCCGTTCGACAGAGAAACTCTCGTGACATGTGTGGTTCACAAAGAAGGT